AGGGAGGCAGAGAAGGGCTTGATTCAAATGCTGAGGTTTTGCAGGGAGAAGGGACCAACAGCAGTTTCTCAAGTCATTTACACAGGATAGCATTTTCACTTAAGAGGATTATTATGTCGGGGCGCCTGGGTGGCTCAGTCGTTAAGGGTCTGCCTTCGGCTGAGGTCGTGATCCCAGGGTCCTGGGATGGAGCCCCGCCTCGGGCTCCCTGCTCCATGGGAAGCCTGCTTCTCCCTCTCCCACTCCCCCTGCTTGTGCTCCCTCTCTCTGTCAAATAAATAAATAAATAAATCTTAAAAAAAAAAAAGAGGATTATTATGCCAAGGGCCTTTAGGATGGTGTCAAAATTCATTATGTGTCCCTGGTGTATCAGCACTAAAGACAACCTCAGAGGTCCGACAATGATCCTTAGCAAGAAAAGAAAACGCAGTATATCGTACACCTGCCACAGCGGTTACTTTTACTATTAATACTTTTTCCTACTAGACAAATTCCTACATGATCTTCAAAACCCAGTTCAAATGTTACCTCTTCAGCTAAACAGTTCCTGATACCTGCTGAGGTATTTATGTTCCCACAGTGTTTTGGGTCCCTTTGTATTTTAGGATTAATTGCACTGTGAAGGGCTTAAGGGCAGGGAGGGTGATGTTTATTCATCTTTGCTTCTACCCCAGAGCTATGCACATGGCAGGTGCTGGGTGAGGGTTTGGTGATGGGTGAGCTGATTTATTCTATCTACCAGCCCAGGCCAGATACAGTTTGGGAAAAGAGATGTTAAAGATGAACATTACACAGGTTGGTTAAGCATCCGCCTTTGGCTCAGGTCATGGTCCCAGGGTCCTGTGATGGAGCCCTGCTCAGCAGGGAGCCTGCTTCTCCCTCTCCTCCCTGCTTCTAATCTTTCTCTCTCTCTGTCTCTCTCTCTCCAATAAATAAAATCTTAAAAAAAAAAAAAAGATTAGCATTATAGTCATTCACACACTGTGTTCTTGAGTTTCAGTGGCCATACCTGCTGCTGAATCAGACCCTTAGTAAGAGAAAGCACCACTAGATAGAGATGAACATCTCAGCCTCCAGAGACTGAAGAGAGGGTGTTTCTATGGCTGATTTTCCTTGAATCTGGACAAAGGAGAGAATCAAGAAGGATGGGGGCAGACCTCACTGTTCCTTCAGGGAGCTACCAGTCTTCTGAATCAGGAAGTTCTTTCTCTTGTCTAGCCTGTATCCACCCTGCTTCACTTGGACTCTGTTGCCTTTGGCCCAGTCCTTGGGGAAAATGCGGACCAGCTGTTCTTTTACTTCCTTCTGTCTCTTCCTGACTCAGGAAAGCAGGTAGTGGCTGGGTCTCTCTTTGTATTATGAACAATGCTAACCCCCCGCAGATGCCTAAAAAAGCAGCAAATGTGGGTTACAACTGGGAGGAAGGAAGCTGATCCCGGGAGCTCCAGGTAAAGTGGCTTTGAGCATGTAGAGAAGAGGCTAAGCATATATGCCGGTCTTTCAGGACAGAAAGAAGAACATTACATTTTCTATTAGTTTGCTCAGCCCGGGAAACATTTCTCAGGACTGGGGCTATAGGGATGTCTAGCAGGAAGTGACAGGGCTGCTCCCTTAGCTCTGAGGCCGGGACTCCAATATAACCACGCCCTCGGATCTCTGCCCTCTTCCAGCTGTATTTCTGAGACACATTTGGAAAACTGAGTCTCAGACAACTGAGACTCAGGCTTGAAGTTCAAGGTTATGGTTTCTAAGCCATCACAGTCTAACTGAGGTGGACAGCATAAAAGGAAATGGCCATCATCCTGCCATTGCTTTAGAATTCAGCAGTGACTTTAAGGGTCTTTCTGGTGGGGTGAAGGCATCCTCTGCTTTGTCTCTGTGAGTCAGGTCTCAGGAGTTACTGCAAACCAGCAGTTACAAACTCTGATACCTGGAGGGGACAGGTAGATAGGTAAGGTAAATTAGCAAAGCAGGCTGGCTAATTTCAAGACAGAACACTCAGCTGCATATTAACCCACGCAAAAATATTCTTCATTTTTTAAAATTAAAAATAGAGCTACCCTATGACCCAGCAATTGCACTACTGGGTATTTACCCCAGAGACACGGATGTAGTGAAAAGAAGGGCCCTATGCACCCCAATGTTCATAGCAGCAATGTCCACAAGAGCCCAACTGTGGAAAGAGCCGAGATGCCCTTCAACAGACGAATGGAAAAAGATGTGGTCCGTGTATACAACGGACTATTACTCAGCCATCAGAAAGGATGAATACCCAACTTTTGCATCCACATGGATGGGACTGGAGGAGATGATGCTAAGTGCAATAAGTCAGGCAGAGAAAGTCAATTATCATGAGGTTTCACTTATTTGTGGAACGTAAGGAACAGCGTGGAGGACATTAGGAGAAGGAAGGGAAGAATGAAGGGGGGGAATCGGAGGGAGAGACGAACCATGAGAGACTATAGACTCCAAGAAACAAACTGAGGGTTTCAGAGGGGAGGGGGTTGGGGGGATGGATGAGCCCGGTGATGGGTATTAAGGAGGGCACGTGTTGCATGGAGCACTGGGTGTTATATGAAAACAATGAATCAGGGCTCCTGGGTGGCTCACTCATTAAGCATCTACCTTCAGCTCAGGTCATGATCCCAGGGTCCTGGGATCGAGCCCCGCATTGGGTTCCCTGCTCGGCGGGAAGCCTGCTTCTCCCTCTCCCACTCCCCCTGTTTGTGTTCCCTCTCTCGCTATGTCTCTGTCAAATAAAAAAAAACCAAAAAAACAAAACAAACAATGAATCATGGATCACTACATCAGAAACTAATGATGTACTGTATGGTGACTAATATAACATAATAAAATTAAATTAAATTTAAAAAAGAATATTCTTAAAAAATTTTTTTAAAAATTAAAAAAAGAATATTCTTCATTTTTATAAAACATGAAATCTTTCTCATGTTTCCTGAAACATACAAACCTCCTGGTCTATCTCTACCTGCCACTTATAATAAAGCCATGGATAGAAAAATATTTCCCTTCCATCCTAAGAAAATCAATAGCACTAATGTTATAAAAAGTAACAAAAGACAATGGTCTTAAGGGGAGGGACACGATAGGGAGTGGTGGGGATTGTGGCAAACTGGAAAGCCCATGCTCTGTCTGCAGGAGCAGCTGCTACTCAGTCTGGGCAGTTTATTGTCCCATAAGAATACAGGCTCGAGGTGGTCAGCGTGTCCACATTTTTTAAGGGAAGCTGTGAATATGATATTTATATAAAATTTTAAAACACTGGCAGTAAATTCAAAGTACAAATACAAATTGTCCCTTAGGGCACTATAGTGCAGACCTAACAAAGCACATCCAGAGCCTGGATCTAGCCTGAGGCTGTCTCTGTTCTTCTTTTGTCTTGGGAGGTTTGGATTATGGCAATACCTCTTTCCTTTCAGTTAAGAAAGAAAATACAAAGACAAATGTTAACTTCATTTGTTCACTTAATCATGAATGGAAAATAGCCCCCTCATGCTCACAGTGTGGCCCCGAGTTCTGAGGACAGCATAATAGATGTCTACATAGGTGCTTCTCCTCCAAGCGACCCTAGAGGCCGCTGCAAGAGGGTGAGTGACTAGCCAGAGGGGGCATGGGTCTGACCTACCACAGCATCCCTGACGTCCTTCCTTATCTTCCTGGCCAGCTATCAGCAGCTAAGGAAAGCAATCCCCACTGAGGCTCTGGAATGTCCCATCCTCCCCATAGAAGGCTATGCAGTGAGGCTTTGGGTCATTGCTCAGGTGAGCTGGTAGCGAAAGATGCCATCCATACAGATGTATGAGAAGACAGAACCTGGCAACCTGCCCCATGCCATCCAGAGCTGGAGGCAGGTGGAGAGAAGAAGGTGACCTTGCTGAGTGACCTGGGCCATCTCCCTGTTCTGACCTCCCAGCCATCATTCCTCCCGTACTTCACTGCAGTGCAGAGGATGGGTGGGAAATTCATACGCTTTAATAGGGTCACACTGGCCTGGTCCGTGAGCTGCCCAAGCAGGTGAGAACGAGGCACTGCTGATCCCTAGCCAAATCTCTCCATGCTCAGAAACAATACTGACTCAGCTGTCAAAACACGTCTCAGCAAACTGGCAAAGACTGAGAAGTTTGATAATATGTTAGGTTGGTGAGGCTGTGGGGACACCACCACTCTCCTGCTTAGCTGGTAGGATCGGGGCAATCTTTACGGTGAGCCATTTCTCAATTTCTGCCCCAGTCACAAATGCATATGATCGTTGAGCCAGCAATTTCACTTCTAGGAATTTGTGCTATTGAAAAGCCTGCCCATGTGCCACGTGAGACATTTAGGCAATGTCATCCATTACAGCAATATCATAGCAAGATATTGGCAATGACCTAAGGGTCCATTATGGAGGACTGGCTCAGTAGGTTTGGGGGAACCATAAAATGGAATATTATACAGCTGTGAAAAAGATCCAGGACTCTCTTCCCCTACGAATTGGGGGGTAATCACCAAGATATGCTGATAAGTGAAAAGCAAGGTGCAGAGCAATATGTATAATGTGCTCTCATTTGTGTGAAAATAATGTGTGTGTGTATTTGTCAGTCCATGTATAAAATATTGCTGAAAGAACCAGAGAAATGACAAATATTGCTTGCCTCTGGGGAGGGAAACTGTGTGGCTGGGATTAGGGGAGAGAGGAAACCTTTTTACCATGTATCTTTACCTGCTAAATTTGGGATGTGAATGGCATGGGAGTGTCTCTGTTGGTGGAAACAATTGAAATTTGAAAAATGGCAAGATCACGAACAAAGCAAAACAAAGGCAAAATCCGGATCCCAGGACACATGCTCCTGGCCTCAGTGCCCCTGAGCTCTCCAGCTGTGGTAGCTCATTTCCATCCCAACATGGTTTGACATTTGGCATCCCTCCCCTCATCCTTACACGGGGGAAGGTTCAGGGAGCCATGGAGTGTGGGAGCCAAGCTGGCACCATCCACTTACCTGCTCCTTCTCTGAATATGGGTTGTTGAGGACGACGGGCACATGGCCCTTGCCCCACAAGTCGCTGAAGACTCGGTCATTCTCCATGCCGAGGGGCAGCGGTTTGTGTGACTTGCTGTCCACACCTCTGAAAGGCAAGGAAGAGGAATTAAGAAAGGCATGACATCAGGAGGGACAGGCTGCTGGCCCTGTTCTAAAAGTCCCAAGTCTGTACAGCACCTCCACGGTTCACCCACAGGACTCTACGTGGAGCCAGCACACTGTGGGTGCCCAGCCTGCTGCTCGGCAGAACCGCCAGCAACACGTGGGAAGGCAGCCCCATCGTCACTGATGTCGGCGCTGATGGTGGGCATGCACCCACCTTTGTGGACATCACTTCCGGATGGCCATGACATGGCTTTGGTCCTCCCTTCCCACTTCCCCATTTCAAAGATCTAGGAACACAGAAGGCTCATCTCCCGGCAGACCCACTGGACGACTTAAGATAGGGGAGAAAACAAGTCCCAGGGGCCAGGGTGATAAGTCATCTTAATTCTGAATAAGCACTGATAATGAGACTAATGATACCTCACCAAGAGAAACAGAAATGATTCTGAAAATGAGAGGAACAGAGCAACAAAAATATTAAGACTATTAAAAATGATAGCCAGTGTTTATTAAGCACTTATTATGTGTCAAGCACTTTACAAGTGTTTTAATTTAATCCTTGTGACAACTCTATGAGGCAGGGATGAATATTAGCCACATTTTATAGATGCTGTAAGCAAGACAGACACTAAGATGCTCAGGGTCACAGTTTTTCAGCTCACTCTTCACAGCCATTCTGAAGTGGAGGCTCTCATTATCAACATTCATCAGCATCATTATCACCCCCACCATCATCATCACCATCATCACCATCACCACCATCACCACCACCACCACCATCACCACCATCACTATCATCACCACCACCACCATTGCCATCACCACCATCACCACCACCAC